TTCCAAGCACACTTATTTTTAAAATTTTTATTGTTATCACCTTGATGAGGTTTGCAGTGTTCAATTTTCTCATTAAAGGTGCATTCTGTGGAGTTCAGCATTAGGGAGAATTTACCATGTTTGTCATTTTACAAAAGCGGGGTTTAACACGCAGTTCACCAGTCAATGAACACATACTTGGCACCAGACAGTATTTTCTCAAAGATAGAAGCCCAAAGGCTTTGTTTTTTTGTTTAGTTCCTGGTTGGTTTTTGTTACGCTCAAAACACAGTAGAGGGTTCGTAATCCTTACCAGTCTTTTATCTCATTTCAAGACCAACACAGGCAAAAAACTTGTTCTTTTCAAGTTGAATGCCCATGCTCTGCAACTAACACTCTTCAGTAAAGGTTGAGAAATACAGAGGACTAACCATCACTTTGTAGATATTTGTCAAATGGGTTAACAGGACCAAACATGAAGACTTTATTCATAGTAAAACACCAAAAGTATCTTTGAGATATATAAGCAACACAAACTGCAACCTGGTGAATAGCTAACACAACTTTTGGGGAGTGAGAGACTTGAGCTGAGCAAGGCTTCCAATCTGCAATTAAAGAACATCTACCTAATTCAAATTTCATAAAAAGCCATGGCAGACAAATTGGCATTTTATCAGAACCACTATTTTTTGTTTGCAACACTGCCATCAGAAAGTTCTCCCCAATGCTAACAGATAATGAAGCAGGTCAGTAGAGAAGCTTAACTTGCCCCATCTGTCCAACCTGGGATTCACAACTGGTTTGAAGCAAGACAACAATTTCTCAAAACCAATTACTCAGGGTAACCATGTGTGCCATTACACCTGCTCTGTTCCACTACAAACAAGCCGTTGCTCTAGGTAAACCCTTCCACTCTAAATTCAAACTGGAAACCAGGTTTCTACCTCTCCTCTAACTTGCATTGATGAACGGAAGTTTGAAGTCTATGGCTTTATCCTGCTGGGCTGTTAGTAGTTACAGTCAGAAATGGTAGTGCTGTTGCCATACTCACAGTAGAGACGCAGCAGCTCACAGAGCTACATATCCTCAGCTACCAAACCACAGTTACTCTGTATGTCCACTTTATGGTGCAAAGCTGGTGAAGGGTCTAGAGAACAAGTCCTGTGAGAAGCAGCTGAGGGAACTGGGGTTGCTTAGCCTGGAGGAGACTCGGGAGATGTTACTGCTCTCTGCAACTACCTGAAAGGGGGTTGCAGAGAGGTGGTTGTCAGTCTCTTCTCCCAAGCCACAAGCAAAAGGACAAGAGGAAATGGCATCAAGTTGCACCACAGGAGGTTTAGATTGGATATTAGGAATTTTTTTTTCACTGAAAGGGTTATCAAGCACTGGAACAGGCTGCCCAGGGAAGTAGTAGAATCACCATCCCTGGAGGTATTTAAAAGACATGTAGACGTGGTGCTCAAGAATATTGTTTAGTGGTGGACTTGGCAGTGTTAGATTAACAGTTGAATTCAGTGATCTTCAGGGTCTTTTCCAACCTAAAATGATTCTATGAACACTTTTACTTGAGCTAGTCTGGCTTGATTTATGTGAACAGATAAGCATCCCCAACTCAAACTGGACTACTGAAGCGAGGACAAGTTATTTATCAAAACAGCAGTTTAATTCCCCATATGCTGTATGACAGCAGCAGACATCGCAATTGGAGAAGTGAGAATATCATGCTCTTGTATTAGAAATGAGATTGGAAGAGAAGGGGTAGAAGAAGACTCCACCACTACTTGAAACACAAAAAAACAAACTTTCCCAATTCATGAGCACAGTGTCAAAAATTAAATGCTCTTCCCTGATTTTATGGAATCATTTATCTCTATCTTTGACATCAAATGGAAACTGACTTGAACTTTCAAGATCTAAAGGCAGCTGCTGCTTTCATTCCATTCTGAAGTTGAACCACACCTGCTCTAGTTCACTCTTTGGTTGACCTGGTGACTCAGGCTGTAGCAGCCATTCAAAGCAACATGATGCTTGTCACTGCAGCAAAGTACATGCCCCTACATTCTCCAAGGTTACACTTCTTCATCTCAAACCGTAGGCTGTTTCCATAACTTTCATCAGATGCATAAAGACCCAGCTTAAGTTATTTATTAGTCATCACGCCAACGGCCCCCAAAAAGCATTATCTTACACATATACTACTGTAAGAACACACGTGTTTTGGTTAATTGTTCTACTGCATTCTTCAGTTCTTCTAAATACTTTTTAAAATTAAATATAATTTTTCCCTTTTCAAATATCACTCAGATAAGGGTGACTCATATCAAATGCTAGCTTGCCCTGCTGAAAAGCTGAAATAACTATCTTTAACCTAGAGATAGCTTGTTCTGACCATCATTGGTCAAAAATCTAACAACCCAAACTTTTCCAGTGATATCAACACTGAAGACTAGATGAGGAACCTTGAGTACAAAGTCATCTGCCCAACCCAGGACCAGCATTCAGTACTACTCACTCTTACAGTGACCAGTCCCCAGTATAGATGGGACTAGATTGAGGGCAGCTAAAGGATTCCATCTGGAGACTCTAGAGTAGCTGAGGTCTCAGTACTAAGTAGCCAAAGGGAAGAATGGCGCAAAAGGCACTATATGAAAAATAATAATAATAATACCTATATATACCTGTTGTGTGAGCCATCACAGGCAGGATGCAAGAACAACCAGAAAAACATGGATGAAATGCAAAGAGTGAATTTATTAGCATTACCTCACAAACCGGGGGATCCCCGAAGCAACATCTGGGCAGAGGCACACAGAAGGAACGCAGGCACCAAGGAGCTCAGTCCTTGTCAGAGGATCACCCAACCTGCTGTTTTCAACAGTATATGGAGGACTCACACAGGCGTAGTTTACCACTGTGATTTGATCTTTCCTACAGCAGGGTAGGAAGCTCAAACACTCTTGACAGGGTGCCTCTATCACAGGCCTATGTTATCTAAACACAGATGTTCTACATGTTTAGCCTTGTGTGTTCGACAATCAGTATGACCTATGTATTTTTCTACACCTCAGCTGCAGGTCACTTGAGCATGTTTACGATCCTCCTCACCCATCTTCCCTTATTTTCCCACACCTGTACAGTATTGTCTACATTCCAAGGCTTCAAACATACACTATGCTACCAGGCAAAAGGTAAAAACCTGGCCATATTCATACCAGCGTTTGTACATACAAAGGAATAGTGCTCGCAAACTCACTACTTCAGGGGTATACATTAAGGACAGCAAACATTAAAT